GGAAAGAATAAAAGTGGCGAAATGTGGAGGGTGTGTTTCACGCATCCTCACAACCCTTCTTCCGATTACGACCTGCATCCGGAAGTTTGGCGCTTTGGATTCCTTGCACTCCTCGCAACTCCGGACGTATTCCCGTGCCTGGATGGTCATCCCTGGCCAATAGGACTGGCGTCGCAGGATCTCCAAGGTCTTCGTCATCCCACCATGGCCAGCCTTGGGGTCCGAATGAGCACGCTCTACCAAGCTGTGCGTCAGGCTTTGCGGGATCCACAGCTTCCATTCGGATCCCTCCAGTTCCTCGTCCATTTTCGGATTCTTCATGCGCTTGAAGATTAGTCCACCGTCCACTTTGAGGTCCGGTAAGTTCTCCTTATTGGACTCCACGTCTTGTACTAACTCCGTATAATCCTCCGCAGCAAATTCGGTCGTCTCGAATCCCAGTAACACCGTTGGATTTATCCGGACTTCCTCTATGATGCGGGACATAGTGTCGGCGACTACATCCTCGCTGCCTTTACGATGTTCAATGCTGAAATCGTAGCCCTGCAGCTGGAGAGACCACCTTGCGAGTCGTCCGGACAGATCCTTCATGGTTATCAACCACTTAAGGCTGGCGTGATCGGTAATGCATGTGAAGGGCATCCCTTCCACATACGGTCTGAACTTCCGAATAGCTAGGATGGCCGCCAGACATTCCTTTTCCGTGACCGAGTAGTTAACCTGGTGTTTGTGCATCTTGGCCGAGAAGAACGCGATGGGCTGCTCGTCTCCGTCCTGGTTCCGCTGAAACAATACCGCGGCGACGCCAACGTGGGATGCGTCGCACTGGATGAAGAAATGCTTCTTGAAATCCGCATGAACCAGGACCGGCGCGCTCGTCAAGGCCAACTTCAGGTCATCCACTGCCTGGGTGGCGCTGGGACTTAGGGAAAACTTTGTGTTTCCAGCCTTCTTCAAGGACTCGGAGAGTGGTGCGGCTGGCGTAGCGAAGTTCTTGACGAACCGTCGATACCATCCCGCTGTGCCGAGGAAGGCACGTACTTCCTTCATGGATTTCGGGTAAGGCATCTTCTGGATTGCCGTAACACGTCCAGGATCCATCCGCAGCAGTCCACCTCCGACTATAAACCCTAGGTAAGTCAAAGATTTGAAGCAAAACTTCGACTTCTTTAACCCTATGGTCAATCCGGCTGATTTCAGACTGTGGGCTACCCGACGCAAGTATTTCAGGTGCGTCTGAAAATCTGGAGCCAGGATTAGCAGGTCGTCCAAGTAGACGAAGACGTTGGATCTGAGCTCCGCTGGTATCACCCGATCCATGAGTCGCACCAAGCGTTGTGCCGCGTTGCACAGTCCGAACGGCATCATTCGGAACTGGTACAACGGCCTGCCTGGAACCGTGAACGCAGTGTACTCCTTGCTTTTCTCATCCAGTTCGATCTGCCAAAACGCAAACTTCAGGTCAACGCTGGAGATGTAATGCGTCTGATCTATTCTGGAGAGTATTCCTTCTATACTGGGCAAAGGGTATGCATCCTTGATAGTCAAGGCGTTCAACTTCCGGGCATCCAGGCAGAATCGGTCTTTCCCTGGCTTCGACACCACTGTTGTGCGATTGCTCCACGTGCTTTTGCTCTCCTCGATGACACCCAGCTCCAACATCTTGTCGATTTCGTCTTCGACCACCTTCTGCTTCGCCGGAGACATCGGATACGGACGATCCTTAAAGACCCGAGCTCCTTCCATCAGCTCAATGGAATGCCTCTCCATGCTGGTGACTCCGAGGCCGTCCCTTTCAAAGGTAAGGAACTCCTCCTTGACCTTGCCTAACGCCAGCTTTTCCTCCGCAGAAAGGCTCCAGGATTCGGGTTCCTCCCTTACCTCGTCCTCATCTTCCTGGTCGGCATAGTGCTCCATCTGGCTGGCATGGATTTCCTCCGCTGCCTTGACGCCTCTCGTCGCCAGCTTCCCCACGACGGCTGGAGCTAGTCCGAAGGCTCGCAAGAAGTCGACTCCGAAGTACGCCGTTTATTAAAACGTGACCGGCTTACTTACGCCTTTGTACCTCACAGGCAGCTCCAAGCGTCCGATGTTGGATCGATCTTCGCCAGAAGCCGTACGGACTACCGAAAAATACGGTTGGACGGTAACTCCCAGCGCTTCCACGAGCTCTCGACAGCCTTTGCCCAGCACACTTACGCTGGCGCCTGTATCCAACAAGCCGGTGAGCTGCTTGCCCAAGGTCTCCACGTCGGCGAAGGGTCTAGGATCAGCGGCATCTATGCGTTTAACGGCCGCCACCACCTCTCGTCGTCTGGATCTCCTCATCCTGAAGCGCTCCCTTGCCTTCTGGACTCTCCGTGAGACTAGACGCATGCCGCTCAGCTGATGCTCCGCAAAAATCCGTTCCGTTCCATATAACGGCGAAGCCTCTCATCCTCCGGCAGGTATCTTAGCAAGTACTTATGACTATCAGATGGACTATGTATTTCCTTGTTTTCGTCTTCTTTCTTCGGAACTACTTCGCGGGATTCCAACCTGGGCGAGTCCCTCCCGCTTTCGGACTGCCCAGCCGACCGTTTTCCGCGCAATCGGGACATTTTAGAGAAATCACGCCCAGCTTGCCGCACCGGAAACAAAATCTCCTCCACTCCGTGGCCTCGCAATCTTGGAATGCGTGCACCGCAGCCCCGCAATTCCAGCAACCTGGCCTAAATGGATTTCGGACTCGCCCACGTAGCTCGTCCACCTCCAGGTGTCGCTGCTCGTCGACTTCGTCCTGTACGAACGCCTCGCTGACCCGTACCTTGTTCTGCTGCAGGTAAGTAGCACGCCCTCGACGACCGAAACTCCTCTCTACTTCGAAGAACTCCTCCCGAAGATCGTCTACCGTGAGTACGTCCATCGCGTAAACATACCTAGCGATGCCGTCCCTCAAGCCCTTTTTGACCACCTTCAACAACTGCTGCTCTGGCATTGGTTTTTTTAGGCGTGAGGCGAGTTGCTGCATCGCATGGATGTAGTCATCCGCGCTCTCTCCCGGCTGTTGCTCACGTTGAAGAAGCTCGTGCATCCTTTCGTGTTCCGTCTGGTGGCCACGGAACCGATCCATCAGAGCCCTGCGCAGCTGGGCCCAAGTGTCCACTCTGGACTGGCGTACATGTACCCAGTACCACTCCTTTGCTCTGCTCGATAAGAGAACGTGGAAGTTGCGCAGAACTTCACTCCACGGACATTGATGCTGCCGCTGCAGGAGCTCCAGACGGAACACGAAGTCGTCCACGGAATGGCCATCGTCCTCGCCGCCGAATGAGAGGTTCCAGCGGTCCACTCGGATGTAGCGGTTTCCGTTGCCGGCTCCCGCGTTGGCGTATAACCGCGGCTCGTCCCGAAAATCCGCCGTCCTTCGGTCCTCGATGCGCCATGGTTCTCCGGTTCCTGGCTCAGGCTGCTGTCGATCCCTGGCGAGTCATTTACCGGCAGTCGAGGTCGCTGCCTGGGCGGCAGTTCCGGCGGCCTTCGGTCGCATCCTCCTGTCTCCTGCCGCTGCTGAATTTCCGCTGGACCATTTGCGCCGCCTTCTGGACACGACGGGGTGGGCACCATCGACACTTGGCGACTCGCGCCCTCCTGAAGCGGCTGCGGCTTGCTCTTGGCTGGCCTCAGGACGTCGTTCAACAACTTCATCATGTCGACGAATCCGTTCTTGATTTCTTCCCGCAACGCCTGGCTCACTCCTAACTCCTGTGATGCGCGATAGGTTTGGGCAGCCTGTGCCAGAGCTGCGTTCATCGCCGACTCCGCCGCTGTATCCCGTTCCGTGTTCAGCTTTTGCGGACTCTTCTGCTCCGGAACCAGAACTCGATCATGCGCCTCGACAATTGCCTTCAAATCCAGGACTACCGCCTACCGGCGTTCTGGGTAAACCCCCAGCCAGCGACATCCGTGGCAACTCCGCAGCACCCTCTACGTCCGTGTACCAGATGTCGTCCTTTTCGTCGCCAGGAGGACCCGTCGACCTTAGCTGGTGGCCGTGCCTATCTCTGACGTCCTTACCCTCGGACATAATTCCCAAGAATTTTTAAATAAATACTTAATAACTACTAATTTGATAATAAATAAAATGATAAATAAATAAATAAGACAACAAATAAATACGACAATAAATATTACAATAAATATCAAAATAAATTCGAAAATAACTATTAGCCAAAATAAATAACAATAAACAAATCTTCCTCACTTTCCAACACCTTTCAAAATCTATTTTTTTTTATTACTTTTTTCTTTCAACTACTCTGGACTTGGGGAGATGGAACTGACCCTCGCCGGTGGGCTTCCGAACTAACTCGACTTATGCTTTCTCCAAAACTCCTATTTTCCCGTCACCACCTAGCCGTTCGTCAACTGGACTAGCTATCACCCGTGGTGATAGCCGCCAGTTAAGGACATCGGCTGGTTTGGCTCTCTTTTTCTATTTTAAATCGAGGCAACCGTGAAGCGCGTAGGGTTGCTACGGGTCACGATTACGCAATTAAGTTTACAACCGACATAAAATTAGAAATCCAGGTCGGGGAGAAAAACCCAGGAACCCAACATCCTAACAAAAAACATTTCAAATAAATAAATAACAAAATAAAAGCTTTAAAACTACTCTATCACAGAAATTATCACAGATTTTCTTCAGTGCATCCCGTGATGCAAATCTTGGTTTGCTCAAAGATGCTATCACCGGTTCACTGGTAATCCTTTGATTAGTAGCAAATCGTCGGCAATGTCCGCCGACCCGCCTCCCGTTCTACTTTTAACTTCCCTAGCAATTGCAATCTATGTTGCAAGCCATAGGTCGTGATGGCGGGGGCGTCAGGGTCATAAATGGGCGAGACGTCGTCGCCTCGACAACTTATTTTGTTTAAATTGGGCGCCAATATGTTACGAACTGTTTTTTTTTGGTGGCAGTGCCGCTAGCTCAGTATTTTCTCAGGGCACAGTACCCCTAATGCCACAGCTCGCAACATAAATATCGATAACTCCACTGTCTCACGATAACAAACAAGCGGTCATCACTAAGAACAAAAACGCAAGGAAAGGTAAATACCTGCAAATATTGACGGGAAAATCGGTTTAATTTGGTGGCTATTGATGACCTAGCCAAGCGCTCCCACCCAACCATGGATGCCCTCAAGATGTTGCAGGGCACCACCCATTCTCAGTCGGCAGGAGCCCCCTCCTCGCGACTACGGCGGTTCCATCTCCCCCACTGGAAAAGCTTACTCAAACATAGTGGGTTTTACAAAGGTTTAATAAATATCGTAAGTACAATCGTTTATATACATGTTCCTCTTAACAGATCTATCCTTCCTCAGCCTTTAAGACCGAAACCTGGCCTCCGTCTCAAATATTTACGCGGTCAAAGCAGAGGATTTGTTTTGCTGGAAAAGGGTACAGGCGCCGCGGAAATTATGCTCTACCAGCCATGTATTGCTAGAGCTCGCATGGAAACGCGGCCCGCAAAGGAACATGCGCGAAGCGCGTGTGTATGGTCACCTAATCCTGAGGAGCTCCAGGGGAAAAGAAGGGACAGGCCAAAAAGGTACGTAACTGCACTGCACCATTTAACTAATGCTCGCGACCTTTTTAATTTTAGGCAAACAACGAGGACAAATAAGGCTCTCGGGTCTAACTCCGGATAAATTCACAAACAGGGAAGTAAATATCAATATATATATATAACCAAGGTACACGTGTATTTAATTTTTCCTAAACTTCAGCTACTATTGGGCCGGGCCTGGAGGCGATGGTAGCCCGGGCTAAGGACTTCCCGCCGGAGGCCAGCAGCGATACAGGTCTCCAAGAAGGAAAACTGGCGCTCTCCGGTGAGTTATGGCGATACTTCTCAGCGCCGCGATGCGACGGCTGGAATTTCCCGGAACGGAATCACCGGGAAATATCTGATGTCGTCGCCGTCGACTGTGAAAGGCTTTTGTGGCAGGTCGTTGGTACGGGTCGAACGGACACCGGTTGCTGGGCAGCCAAGTCGGGGTGGTAGGTATGGCGAAGTCGCGCAGACATCAGTGAACTCCCAAATAAATATTCCGGGGCCCTTTGTGTTGGGACCCCGGCTGCTATTTAATTTTAAGCACAAAAAAAGTGTATAGTATTACTTCTAGCTACATCTGCCTGGTTGGACAGTATGGCCGCGACTATCTCGATATCTGCTGATCATCGTTCATACCCCCGCCATATTACATGGCCTCTCTCAAAATTGTGTCATTAGATACATGGGTCCATTTAAACTAATCCCAGAGCGAACCTGGATTAATCTTCAAATGCCCAGATGGCCCGCCAGTCTGTACAATTCCCTCAACGTTATTCCGCTATTCCCACGCCACATATGTACATATGTACAGTGTACATACATACGTACATATATCGATATTTTCGGCAGTGCACAGTGGGTCAAGGGCTTACAAAAAATGTTCCCTTCAAACAAACAAAATTAAAGTCCGTAATTCTTTACATAAGTCCGACCATCCGATATAATAAATATTTATTGACTCTGCCTATCCGTCTGCTCCTAAATTCCATCTGGATTCTAGCCCGTTTCCTTACTTCTGAATTAAAATTCCAAGTAGACTTAAGCCCGTTTCCTTACTTCTGAATAAAAATTCTAAATTATTTTACGTCATGGCAACATCAGTAACTGTGACTGTCTGAACCACTTTGAGGCCACTGTGAATGCTCCAGGTGCTCCTACCCCAACGTTATCCGCCTGTAAAATCCGACAAGATCGCTTCAATTCCTTGTGGTAAACGGTAAAGGCAGCATACGACATATGCTCCGACTGCATTATAGCTGCAGGCGAGAGCGCCGCAGACGCGAAATCCATACTAAAGTCCAAGTATAACCAAACGTACTCCACTTATGAAATATTTGCCGCCCAGCTTATGGAACAAATCCAAAAAGGCTCCTCCCAAATACCTCCAGTAACTCCGTCCCAAAATTCCTCATCATATGGCTGACGGCTCCCTCCTATCGACACAGAGGTTATCTCTGGCGATTATCTTCGCTGGCCGACTTTCCGGGACCTTTTCACGGCCATATACATAGACAATCCTAGTCTAACGCCCGTTGAAAAATTATTCCATTTAAATTCAAAAACAAGAGGCGAAGCTCATTCCATAGTTTCAAGATCCCCACTCACCAATGACGGCTTTCGCTCAGCCTGGAATAACCTAACTGAGCGTTTCGAAAATAAGCGATTGCAGGTGAACAGGCACCTGAAAACACTTTTCAATGTGCAATCCATAGCACAGGTATCGGGAGCAGCCCGCACTTTTCAAGGTTGCTTAACTTTCTTAAAATTTTCCGGTGTTAATATTGAGAATTGGGACCCTATCCTGGTTTATATGTGCTCGACAAAACTACCAAAGCTCACTCTCTCATTATGGGAGCAATCCATCCAAAATAAAGCCGAAATTCCTACGTTTAACTTCAGCAGGCTGTGTCGAGCGGCAGATGTCTACATCTCGCGCGCTCGCACTGCCGTCAGCTCTCCCTCTCCATCTCTCCCCTAAGTCTCCGCTCTGCTCTGGAGCGCTTAAGTTAAGTTAGGCTTAAGCAGTTCTTATTTCAAAGGGTACAAATAAACATCTACGCGCGTCGCGTAAAATCCCCAAAGTACTCCCGTGTTTTTTGCGTACCATCCGATCTTGGGGCTTCATCTATTTTCAACGATCAAGCCACCCCGCCCCAACAGACGGCCTTACCGAAATATCGGAGATTATTCTCAAAAACATTAGTGCCTTTATTAAATCTTCCGTGTGGAAGACATGCTGATCAGCTTAACACAGGTTGAAACTACTAGAAACGGGACCCTAGAGAAGGAAAAACGAGATCTTGCGGTATCACAATGGACCCATTGAGGTCTAAGGTCGGACCATAGTCCGACAGCCGCCCAAACCTAACATAACCTAAGGGCGTTTAATTTGAGGAGGCAGTGTCGAGCGGCAGTTTTATCCAGATGTCTACATCTCGCGCGCTCGCACTGCCGTTCGCTCTCCCTTTCCATCTCTCCCCTAAGTCACCGCTCCGCTCTGGATCGCTTAAGTTAAGTTAGGCTTAACGAGTCCTTATTTCAAAGTGAACCAATAAACATCTACGCACGTCGCGTTAAACCCCAAAGTAGCCCCGTGAGTTTTGCGTACCATTCGTTCTTGGGACTTCAACTATTTTCAGCGATCAAGCCACCCCGCCCCAACAATGCTTTTAGTCTAATGATTTTAAATCCTTATTTAAATGTTCAGTGTTCTCTTCTTCTTCTTCAATTAGTACATTCGTTGTGTATTGACAATCGAGTTCACAATGTAATCGATATCTGTTGTCTTATCGAGGCTTAAGCCTAGTACTCACTTCGACGAAATCCGGGCGCTAACCATAGGAGTGAGCGAGAGGCAAAAGCTTTTCGTCGGGTCTGTTTTTCAGCGCGGTACTCAGATGAGCTAAGAAAATACCAGAAAAAATACCAGATTTCTAGAGTGAATTTTCGATGAACGCCGTTAGCCGCGGCTCAAAGAATAAGAAATTTAATCTTTGGCGGTATTCGTGCAGAAGCGGTGGGGAATTTAAAAATGAAAAATGATTGAAAAAAAAACCAAAAACGGCTAAAGGAGGTCAGTGCAGATGAAAAAGGACGCCTAATCCAAGCTGTTGCCCATTATTGTGGAAGCAATACCACAACGAGGCAAATATGCAGAATAGTTGAAGCTACTTGACAGCTAAAGTGGAAATGGAAGACGCGCCGGCTTCTATAGGGAGGAGAGAATAAGGTCGCCCGCTAAGGGACAGCTGGAGGAGCCATCACCAGCCATTATTGGCCAGCCTATTGGGATCCGGAGCTGGACTGCAGATGGCGCGGGAAAGATAGCGAAGCATCCGTGGGACGAGAAGGAAGCCTTAAACTTATAATTTACATAAATAAAAACATTTGTTGAAAATTTCATTTATTTTTATTTTAATTTCTTTATGCACCAGCAGACTTTTTTTTTAAATTGCTCCACTTGATTTGTTTTCCGTTTGGCATCAAGCCCAAATGCTTGACAGTAAGACCATGCCACATGCATTGCGGGTGAACTTTGAAAACTTCGGTCACACTACAAAAAATAAGATTTTTCGACTAGTGAAACTCTTAGCCGATCTGTGTACTAAGCTTTAAGCCTAGTACTCAGATCGACCAAAACCGCGAGCTAACCATAGGAGTGAGCGAGAGGCAAATACGCGGCTAACGCTTTTCGTCGGGTCTGTTTTTCAGCGCGGTACTCAGATAAGCTAAGGAAATACCAGAAAAAATACCAGATTTTGCGAGTGAATTTTCGATGAACGCCGTTAGCCGCGGCACAAAGAATAGGAAATTTAATCTTTGGCGGTGTTCGTGCAAAGGCGATGTGGAAACTAAATATTAAAAATGGAAGGAAAACACCAAAATCGAATCCAGAAGATCAGAGCTGATGAACTAGGACGCCAACTCCAAGCTTATGCCCTTTATTGCGGGGCTTCACCGAGAGGAAGCAATTCCACAAACGTGGAAAATTCCCAGAATAGTTGAAGTGTTGAAGGAGATCCACTAGAGAATCCCAGTGGGAAGGAACATGCCGAGTGGGACTTCGATCTCTACATGGACATCCTGCCGGGCGCGTCCTCGCAAAGAAAGTAAGATCTGGCCAAAAGAATTTGGTCGCGTTGTACTAATAGAAGTACCTTTGTAGCAGAACCACCAGTAATACGATCTCCGACGACCTCTCCATTAGGACTCCGGACACCACCACCACCAGCTACTTGGCAGCTTAAGCGGAGCTGGAGGACCCGCTGGCTTCTATAGGGAGGAGGAAAATAGGGCGCCCGCTAAGGAACAGTTGGAGAAGCCATAGCCAGCCACTGCCAGGATGCTGGGCGACTTCCTGCAGCATTAGTGGATCAACCCCGTTCCCAATCCGTCTCCCAATTCCTCAAGGTCCAATATGCCCATTGACACTCGAAGCTGGACTGCGGTGGAGCGCGAAAGATGGCGTAGCATCCATGGGACGAGAAGGAAGCTTTAAACTACTAAATTACATAAATAAAAACATTCGTTGAACATTCGATTTATTTTTATTTTAATATCTTTGTGTACCAGCAGACTCCTCCTTTTTAAATTTTAATTTCAAACCCAACTGCTTGACAGTAAGACCGTGCTACATGCATTGCTGGTGAACTTTAAAAACTTCGGTCACACTACAAAGAATAAGATTTTTCGACTAGTGAAACTCTTAACCGATCTGAGTACTAGGCTTTAATATAAAATTATATTATAGAAAGTACACACTAAAATACAATGCAAGCATAACAGTATACATTCACATATGCTTACAATAGAAAGCACACACTAAAGTACAATGCATAACATAACAGTTCCGACCGGAGCGTGGCGCATCTTTGACCACATCTACCGCAAAAAGAAAAAACGTTGAAACCATCGTTTAAAACAGCAACAACAATCAATAAAACACGTGTTAGCGAGAGCTTTCCAAAAAGGTATAGCATGACCCGATGCGACGAATAAAAATAGAACTACGCGCTAGTAGCGACAGCTAGCGAAAATACCGCAAGCCTTTTTTGACAACCTAATACATACCTTATGTTATCGGAAACGCTTGTTTCTACCTATAACATTTTTTTTCGAATCTAGTATAGCCTTAAATGGGTGCAAGCTTCCGAGATACTTAGCAGTTTTTTGTCGTCAAGTGTATACAACCCCTTAAAACAAATCTCAACTTTTAAAGCATTTCATAAATCAAGTCAGTATACAAATAAATAACCTGATCACCGATGGAAATTTTAAAATCTATATTGACTGCGTTCAGCAATACAAAATGATAACTGATTATTGATCTATCATTTTGTTTAGCTGAACGCTCTTGATCAATAACGACGTCGAAAAAGTAAAACATATTTTATAAAAAGCTCCACCATTCAATTCAAATGATTTTAAAATTTGTCCTAGCGTATGTTCCAAACAATCGCTTTATATACAAATGCTTTTTTATTAAAGAGAAGATATGAAGAAGAAGTCACTTCATTCACAATTTTGTTAATTCTTATAGCTATTTCACTAGTCGACACACGCCAGCAGCAATGCATCATGTATCAACAAAATTGTAATCATGTGCGTTCACCAGAACTATCCTATCAATACCATCAGTGATCAGGTATCATGTTGTTGTGCTGAACACGGCCATTTCTACTGACTTGTACCTTTAAGCCTAGTACTCAGATCGGCTAAGAGTTTCACTAGTCGAAAAATCTTATTCTTTGTAGTGTGACCGAAGTTTTCAAAGTTCACCCGCAATGCATGTGGCATGGTCTTACTGTCAAGCAGTTGGGTTTGAAATTAAAATTTAAGAAGGAGGAGTCTGCTGGTACACAAAGAATTTAAAATAAAAACAAGGAAGAACGCTATAGTCGAGTACCTCGACTATCAGATACCCGTTACTCAAAGGGAAATGGAGATATGCAAGCAGCAAAGCGAAATTAAAATGCGCCACCTACCGGCGGTAGACAGATTTAAGCGTTATGGGCGTTAGAGTGGGCGTGGGAAATTTATTTTTGGATCAATCGATAGGTATTGACGACACCAATACATTTCAGTTAAAATTTTTTATCTAGCATCCAAATTGTGGGCGTCACAGGTTTTTGCGGTTTGTGGGCGTTTAAGTGGGCGTGGCAAACTTTTTTTAGGTCAATCGATAGGTATTGATGAGAACAATACATTTCAGTTAAAATTATCTATCTAGCATCAAAACTGTAGGAGTTTCAGTTTTGGGCGGTTTGTGGGCGTTAGAGTGGGCGTGGCAGTCTACTGAAACAAACTTGCGCTGCGTAAGAAGCTCAGGAATCTGTACGCCAAATCTCAATAGCCTAGCTCTCATAGTTTCCGAGATCTCAGCGTTCATCCGGACAGACAGACGGACAGACGCACAGACGGACAGACGGGCAGACGGTCAGACGGACAGACGGACAGACGGACAGACGGACAGACGGACAGACGGACATGGCTAGATCGACTCGGCTAGTGATCCTGATCAAGAATATATATACTTTATGGGGTCGGAAACGCTTCCTTCTACCTGTTACATACTTTCCGACGAATCTAGTATACCCTTTTACTCTACGAGTAACGGGTATAATAAATCGAATGTTCAACGAATGTTTTTATTTATGTAAATTAGTAGTTAAAAGCTTCCTTCTCGTCCCATGGATGCTACGCCATCTTTCGCGCTCCACCGCAGTCCAGCTCCGAGTCTCAATAGGCATATTGGACCTTGAGGAAGTGGGAACCGGTTTGGGAACGGGGTTGATCCGCTGATGCCGCAGGAAGTCGCCCAGCATCCTGGCAGTGGCTGGCAATGGCTTCTCCAACTGTTCCTTAGCGGGCGCCCTATTTTCCTCCTCCCTATAGAAGCCAGCGTGTCCTCCAGCTCCGCTTAAGCTGCCAAGTAGCTGGTGGTGGTGGTGTCCGGAGTCCTAATGGAGAGGTCGTCGAGGATCGTATTACTGGTGGATACTTCTATTAGTACAACGCGACCAAATTCTTTTGGCCAGATCTTACTTTCTTTGCGAGGATGCGCTCGGCAGGATGTCCATGTAGAGATCGAAGTCCCACTCGGCATGTTCCTTCCCGCTGGGATTCTCTAGTGGATCTCCTCCAGCACTTCAACTATTCTGGGAATTTTCCCCATTTGTGGAATTGCTTCCTGTCGGTGAAATCCCACAATAAAGGGCATAAGCTTGGATTTGGCGTCCTATTTCATCTGCACTGAGCTCCTGCATTCGATTTTGGTGTTTTCCTTCCATTTTTAATTTTTAGTTCCCACATCGCCTTTGCACGAACACCGCCAAAGATTAAATTTCTTATTCTTTGGGCCGCGGCTAACGGCGTTCATCGAAAATTCACTCGCAAAATCTGGTATTTTTTCTGGTATTTCCTTAGCTCATCTGAGTACCGCGCTAAAAAACAGGCCTGACGGGTTCCTTGACAACGGGGGTCCCGCGGGGTCAGGACTTGTCTTCCGCACTGGCGCGTTTGGCTTTATGTGAGTCCTCGGAGCAGGCTTTGGAACTGTTTTCGTCCCCCCCCCTCGGTGCCTTGCGATGATTGCGGCGTACCGGGTGTGCTTGGGGATTGCGCGGTTGCGGCCGTAGGAGTCGCCCGTGTATCTGGGGTTGGTTTGTTATGTCGCCATCCCTCACTAATCGAGTAATCGAGAAAACCAGGGATGCAAAGTGGGTTTAGGGTTTCCAGTGATGGGCAACGTGAAAATTGGAGTCAGTTCGGGGGCGAATTCAAATTCAAACCGGACAAATGGAGGTTATAGGGACATTAACCCAGAGTGCAGGGAACCGAGGTCCGTAATCTGCATAGGTTGGCGGAAGGAAAATGGCCGACACTAGATCAGTTCAGACTTGGTGTCGGCGGCGCGCAGTCGCAGCGGGTTCGGTGAAAACTATCTCCTCACGCGGTCGTGGTGTTCAAGTGGCCATCAGCGCCTAGATAAGTGCAGCCAAAATTTCGAACGCAGTCAGTACCGATAAATAAAAAGGAGTGAGCCCGCTCGTGCAAAGTTTTCGCCGGTCGCCGACGCCGGAGAACGGTCTCTGAAGCCGGACTGGTCAAGACCCTACGGTGAGTGCGTTCCAGTTAGTGGGGGAAAAAGAAAATTCCAATAGGAATCCCATTTCAGGCCAGCGAGAAGAGACGTGGAAGGTAGTGGCCAGGTTCCATTAATTAGGGCCTGGCCAAGTTTTTCTTGGAGTAACCCCGGTTCTCGGCCGGAGATTACGTCATCGGCGAGCCCGGTGCCTCCAGCGCTAGCTACCTGGAGGAACCTGTCGTGCCCGCGAGAAATCGGTGGGGGATTCGATTGCGCGTCACGGCACGTGGAATTACATCACCAACCGGACCTGGAAAAGATCGGCGGCTTACTGCGAAATAGTCTTTTTAGCTTTATGTTGTGTTGTCCCTTAGTTTATTTAGTTATTTGTTTATTTAATTATTTGTATTCTTTTGTTGGGGGAGGGGATCTTATATAACACTTAAAAATTAACCTATATATATTGCACATAGATACACCCATATTGCACTATTATTTATTTATTATATCACCAATTTTAAACTGTTTATTGCCGGATGTGAACAATTCACGGCGAGTGTTTTTTCCACATTTGTTTATTTAGTTATTTGCCACTTATCGCTCCTTCTGGGCGAGACTTGACATTTAAACCGTCAAAGCCAAGTACTTGTTAATCCCATGGGGAATCCTCTCCAGCGACCGCGTCGAATAGGTTATAATCGGGTCTGGGATCCCCTTAAGAGAGCTCTTTTAGGTAGGGACCGAAATAAAGAGAACAGACCAGTCTACGTAAATCCCTTTGGTGACTGTCGCACCCGGCGGGCGGTGCTTGATGGGTTTCCTTACGGGAAGCTGAAGCCCTGTAAATAATTTAAGTAAATAAATGATACTACAATGAATATGGAGTAGAATATCTTTCAGAGGGGAGGGAACATGTAAACGGTTCCAAGATATCTCACGGTGACCGGTCCAAGGGGCAGTCGGAGTCACCTACGGCTGCTACGGTTGGGTGGGAGCGCGGAGGCTTTGGGTTTGCCCCCAAAAGCCCACAATATATCTGATGGCGTCCTGTGACCTGAAAAGGAACAAGTCGGGGAATTAGTTTTGTGATAATCACGTGTTGTGTTAGTTTTATAGTTTCGCATATTTCGTCAATGTTTTCGGTCCAGTCATAAGACAGCTGTTGCAGCGTGAAGTGTTGTGAAGTACAAACATCTGTTTGTTTATTGTTGCGTGTGTGTGGGCAGGGTTGGAGTACCCACACCCCAAGTGCTCTAGAGCTAGCCGGCGCTGCCCACTCGCGGACACACGTAGTCCTATTTTGGGACATAACAATATTGGCGCCCAATTTCAAATATAAATGGCAACGCACCAGGCTCCAACAGGATTTTCCTCTTCCCATAGATCTTTTTGGAGTCCTCGTCTGACCGGTAGGCGAACAGCAGAAAGATCTGGGGGAAAGACGAGAAATAGTTTGGATTAGGAAAGTAAGAAAAGCAAGAAAACGTTCTGTACTGTGTTTCTTTCTCGACGACATCAGCTGGGTTCAAGCAAACTGGAAGATTTGCGATCGAGATACAGGAGCAACAGTCGGGGGGACGTAAAAAGATCCTTTTTCTTCAGGCAGTCGCCAATACAACCGAAATCCGGAGTCCTGAGTTTCTTAAGAACTGGAGTCTCAGAAGCTTCCGGATGATTCCTCGGTGTCCTTGACTGACGAACGGCGGTTGAGATGTATCGAGAGGTCGATGGGATGATGGCGAGGGAAGAAACGTGGATTTTTGATTACTAAATAAAATGACACCCCTGACTCCCAGACTGAGTCGAAATTGGAAAGAGTCGATTCCGTCATTGTTTTGTGTTAAACGTTAAATGTTCCAAGGTCGAGGACAGTCCATTAGAAAAATAGCGCCGCAGATCAGTTCACCGTGTAGGATGGGACAGTTTATAGTAGTTCTTTCCCCTTCTGTTTCCTGAAAGAAAAATGACGAACTAATAATTTTTGAAGAAATAAATAATCAAATTAAAATGGGTAAGAATGGAAATAATATGGAAGATTGCGGGAACCTTACGGCCCCTTTAGGGAAGGCAGGATCGTTCACTTGTCCCCCACTGCAACCAATGCCGTTTCACACTCTAAACCGGGTGGGAAACCCAAAAAGATTAGAGCTTGGCGACAACTCCACACCAATACCGACTTTTTCACACATCCAGCAGAATCATCAACAGGAAGGTATGCACTTCCGACCAGGTTCCTCTTCCAGTGGAAGCCATCAACCAAGAGACACGGAAGGGCGTCAAGGGGCTCTTCGGCGGAATCAGGAAGTCTACGGGTATTCTCAACGAGGACACTTTTTGTCCCAGTGCACAAATGGGGGATACAGTTCTCTGGCAACTCCGATGGGATGAGTGCTGAAGGATTTATATTCCGAGTCGAGCGCTTAAGGCAGCATTATGGCACGCCTTGGGCGGATCTTATCCGGAACTTTCACCGCTTGGTGGTCGATGGTGCGGCGGAATGGTATTGGCTGCTAGTCCGTACTAACAACATAGCAACCTGGATGGAATTGCGGACGGCTATTGAGCGTCGGTATAGCGACACTAGATGCGACTATGAGAGGATCCAGGACCTGAGTGAGCGGAGGCAAATGCCAGGAGAGTCCCTGGATTCTTTCTTCCACGCAATGCGAAGACTGAGGGCTGCGGTGCGGTTACCAATTACTGAAAAATGGATGATCAAGACCGTCAAGCGTAATCTGTGCGAGCCCTTGAAGCAGTACGTGTTTCCGATTCGGGCATACACCTTGGAGCATCTCAGAGACGAATGTCGAGAAGCCGAAAGAGCTTTCGCGGAGGAAGTGGGACGAGCCAGACAGACACCACGAGCGGTACCCCCCAGACGACTAGAATTTCGAGGGCAGAGGGTAGACGAAGTCCAGTACAGTAGCATTCCAGACCAGAATTTCCGGACAGTAGTCGAACATGAAAACGAGGGAGGACTAGTAGAGGCCATCCAATCTGCCAGCCAGCGGAAAGCCGTGGTATGTTGGAACTGCAAACAAGCCGGGCACGTCTACAAGCAATGTGAAACGCCGCAAAAGTCCTACTTCTGTTTCAAATGCGGGCGAGCCGACACGTTTACGCCTAAATGCCCAAACTGCAATCCGGGAAACTCGAAGGGGAACGTAATAAACCCAGTGGAGTTGCGTTCCGGACGGGAGCCGGTCGGTGTAACCCCAATGACCCAGAGTCGTGCGAAGTAAACGCAGGACCAAGGGTGGAATGGCAAGGAAGACTGGCTAAACCACTGGAGGAGAGATGGCGTCGATACAAGGAGGCTCGGGAACGCATTTTTAAGGACCACCAACTGGAGGGAATGACAAAAAGAGGAAAATGGAAAGGCAGGAGGTCCAGCGCACGATATCACAAATAGAATCCCTTAAGTATACTAACGACGATCCAAGGCCCTACGCGACAGTGACTATAGCAGATCAGGAGATCCAAGGACTGCTGGATTCCGGAGCTACTATTAGCGTCCTAGGTACCGGCTGCCAGGAGTTGGTGGATCGACTTGGATTGGATTGGTTGCCATACAGGGGAAACGTGAAGACAGCGAACGGCGAAGATCGGATATTAGGCAAGGTCATTGTGAGAGTGGTTTTCTGGGGACGAGAGGCCAGCAAGTGTTTGTATCTATGTCCTGTATCTATGTAAAGCAACAGTTGTATTTGGGGGTAGACTTTTGGAAGGAGTTCAATATTGCTCCGGAACTATTTGGAGGTGGCGTCGAGGAATTGGTAGAGTCGCAGGAAGTTACAACTGTCGAGCCCGAGCGTCATCAACTATCGGCGTCCCAGGAATCCCGACTCGCTGAAGTCCGAGGAGTGTTTCTTTCTTACGAAAAGGTTGGATTGGGACGAACTAAGCTTCTAAAGCACAGGATAGAACTGGAAGAAGGAGCAGTACCAGTGAAGTCAAGGCACTATCCGATGTCTCCGGCAAAACAGGCGGCGGTCTATGCTGAAGTGGATGAGATGTTGCGACTAGGCGTCATCGAGGAAAGTGAAAGTGCTTGGAACAATCCTGTGACGTTGGTCATGAAACCTGGGAAAAATAGGCTTTGTTTGGACCCGCGCAGGGTGAACAAGGTGACAAAGAAGGACGCGTATCCGCTTCAAAACATAGATGGAATCCTAAGCAGAATTGCCTCAACCATATTTATCAGCAGTGTCGACCTGAAACATGCTTATTGGCAAATCGAGCTGGAGGAAGAGAGTCGACCGATCACGGCATTTACAATCCCTGGAAGGCCCTTGTACCAATTCGTCGTAATGCCCTTTGGGCTCTGTAACGCGGGTCAAAGCCTGTGTCGGTTGATGGATAAGATCATCCTATCCAAACTACGGGAGAAAGTCTTTGTTTATCTCGACGATCTACTGATAGTAACCCCAGACTTTGAATCACATCAATCCATTTTGAAAGAAGTAGGAGAATGTTTGAAGGCAGCCGTACTCACAATCGGGTTACAAAAATCACATTTCTGCTTCAAAGAATTGCGCTATATGGGTTTCGTAATTGGCGGAGGGGAATTGAGAACAGATCCCAAGAAGGTAGAAGCTATTCGAAAGCTAAGTAATCCCCGTAATCCGCGGGAGGCTCGAAGTCTGTTGGGTACAGCAGGATGGTACCGCAGGTTCATCCATAATTTCGCAGAAATTTCCGCCCCTCTTACAGATACATTGAAGAAGAGTGGGAAATTCCACCTAACCCCCGCGACTCAGCAAGCCATAGAAACCCTGAAAACTGCACTCGTAACGGCGCCCGTGCTAAACCATCCAGATTTCTCACGGCGTTTTTACATACAGTGCGATGCGTCCGACACGGGAGTTGGGGCAGTGTTATTCCAGCTGGATGATCGGGGAAACGAAAGACCCATTGAATACTTCTCACAGAAGCTGAACAAATGCCAAAAGAACTACAGCGTCACAGAAAAGGAATGTCTGGCGGCCGTCCTCGGAGTGAAACGATTCAGACCGTATGTCGAAATGATGCCCTTTACTGTTATAACAGACCACGCCAGCCTGAAGTGGCTGATGTCATTAAAGGACCTGGATGGACGGCTCGCTCGTTGGTCGTTAAAGTTGCAGATCCATGACTTTGTTATAGAACATAGGAAGGGCTCAGAAAATGTAGTGGCTGACACTCTTTCCAGGATGATAGAGTCAACCCCTTGCTGGGGTTCGAGACGACAGAATTCGAGTCTCCAGAGTACGCTGAGTTTAGGAAGGAGGTATTGGCACATGAAGAACGTTTCCCAGATCTCGTTGTGGATGGAGATTATGTGTTTCTGCGGTCTAAACTAGATGATAATAAACCCGAATTAGGGGAATACTCCTGAAAACTGTGGATACCTGCTAGCCTTACACGCACTCTGATAGAGCAAGCGCATAGCCCGAAAAATAGAGCTCATGGTGGAATGGCGAAAACATTGAGTTGGCTGCGTCAGAGATTTCACTGGCCGGGGATGGTGAGCCAGGTCCGAGCTTATGTTAGGGATTGTACAGTATGCAAAGAAACCAAGCCAACGAATTGCGGCCCTAAACCCGAGATTGGTGCGGAAGTGGTTACACTTAGGCCATTCCAGAAAATATACATCGATTTTCTGGGAAAGTATCCGAGGTCTCGAGGAGGGAATTCATATGTGTTCATAGTAGTTGATCATTTCTCGAAGTTCACACTCCTTAAAGGCATGCGGGAAGCAACCTCTGCGGGAGTAATTCGATTTTTAAGGCAGGAGGTGTTTAACAAGTTTGGGGTTCCGGAATTGTTACATTCCGATAACGGGAAACAATTTGTTTCCAAGCAGTTCACGGAATTTCTGAAGGAATATGGAGTTAAGCACATTCGGGCCGCTGTTTACTCACCCCAGTCAAATGCGGTGGAAAGAGTCAACCAGTCTGTTCTAAATGCAATTCGAGCCTATTTAGAGGACGATCACCGAGATTGGGATCTGTATCTGTCGGAGATTGAGTGTGCGCTCAGAGGAGCGGTTCATCAGGATACTGGAGTATCTCCATATTTCGCTCTGTTTGGGCAAAATATGTTCACCAACGGGGCAGATTACCAACTAGCGAGACGTTTGAAGGCATTAGAAGACAACGAACTGTATGTCCTGCCAAGAGAATCTAAGATCGTCCTGATGCGCGAAGAAATCCGGAAGAATTCAAACAAGGCATACGAAAGAAGCGCAGCTGTGTACAACCGGAGGTCAAGAAATGTACGATTCGCAGTCGGACAGGAAGTATACCGGAAGAATTTTACTTTGAGTAATTTCGGCCAGAACTATAATGCCAAATTCGCGAAGAAATTTGTTAAGTGTCGAATCAAGTCAAGGATAGGGAACAACATGTATGACACCGAGACATTGCAAGGGAAACCTAGTGGAATATATCACGCGAAGGATTTGAAGCAGTAAGAACGGACCTACAAGCGACCCACGACGAGCACTGGAAGAAAAGGTGTTGGTGAGAAGAGTTTGCTGCGATTATGTACTCACCTGGCTCCCGCGACGAGATTCCAAGTCCATTAGTGGTCATCCACCCAAAAAAACCAAAACAAATACAATCCGATGTCCAGCTGGGGAAGAAGAAGACATCGCAACAAGCTGTTCGGTAGTATGTGTGGGTGTGATCCCTCGTTGGGCCTTGTCCTGATGTCCCAAAATGATCCTCCGTGTTTTCAGGGTAGTTCCGTATTTACAGATGTCTGAAAGATGTCCATAGGAGGGATGTCTTCTATATTTTACTAGCGTTTCGGAGAAACAAGCATCCGAAACGCTAGTTTGGTTGTTATGTCGCCATCCCTCACTAATCGAGTAATCGAGAAAACCAGGGATGCAAAGTGGGTTTAGGGTTTCCAGTGATGGGCAACGTGAAAATTGGAGTCAGTTCGGGGGCGAATTCAAATTCAAACCGGACAAGTGGAGGTTATAGGGACATTGACCCAGAGTGCAGGGAACCGAAGTCCGTAATCTGCATAGGTTGGCGGAAGGAAAATGGCCGACACTAGATCAGTTCAGATTTGGTCTCGGCGGCGCGCAGTCGCAGCGGGTTCGGTGAAAACTATCTCCTCACGCGGTCGTGGTGTTCAAGTGGCCATCAGCGCCTAGATAAGTGCAGCCAAAATTTCGAACGCAGTCAGTACCGATAAATAAAAAGGAGTGAGCCCGCTCGTGCAAAGTTTCCGCCGGTCGCCGACGCCGGAGAACGGTCTCTGAAGCCGGACTGGTCAAGACCCTACGGTGAGTGCGTGGAGAATTTACTCCAGGAGGGGGCATAATCCTCCCCAGAATTCGGTGGAGGATTCGATTGCGCGTCACGGCACGTGGAATTACATCACCAACCGGACCTGGAAAAGATCGGCGGCTTACTGCGAAATAGTCTTTTTAGCTTTATGTTGTGTTGTCCCTTAGTTTATTTAGTTATTTGTTTATTTAATTATTTATATTCTTTTCGCATAAAATTTGTTGGGGGAGGGGATCTTATATAACACTTAAAAATTAACCTATATATATTGCACATAGATACACCCATATTGCACTATTATTTATTTATTATATCACCAATTTTAAACTGTTTATTGCCGGATGTGAACAATTCACGGCGAGTGTTTTTTCCACGTTTGTTTATTTAGTTATTTGCCACTTATCGCTCCTTCTGGGCGAGGCTTGACATTTAAACCGTCAAAGCCAAGTATGTACTTGTTAATCCCACGGGGAATCCTCTCCAGCGACCGCGTCGAATAGGTTATAATCGGGTCAGGGGTCCCCTTAAGAGAGCTCTTTTAGGTAGGGACCGAAATAAAGAGAACAGACCAGTCTACGTAAATCCCTTTGGTGACTGTCGCACCCGGCGGGCGGTGGTTGATGGGTTTCCTTACGGGAAGCTGAAGCCCTGTAAATAATTTAAGTAAATAAATGATACTATAATGAATATGGAGTAGAATATCTTTCAGAGGGGAGGGAACATGTAAACGGTTCCAAGATATCTCACAGTGACCGGTCCAAGGGGCAGTCGGAGTCACCTACGGCTGCTACGGTTGGGTGGGAGCGCGGAGGCTTTGGGTTTGCCCCCAAAAGCCCACAATATATCTGATGGCGTCCTGTGACCTGAAAAGGAACAAGTCGGGGAATTAGTTTTGTGATAATCACGTGTTGTGTTAGTTTTATAGTTTCGCATATTTCGTCAATGTTTTCGGTCCAGTCATAAGACAGCTGTTGCAGCGTGAAGTGTTGTGAAGTACAAACATCTGTTTGTTTATTGTTGCGTGTGTGTGGGCAGGGTTGGAGTACCCACACCCCAAGTGCTCTAGAGCTAGCCGGCGCTGCCCACTCGCGGACACACGTAGTCCTATTTTGGGACATAACAGGTTCTACGTTCCGGGTGGCAGGTGGGGCCCATCCTCGCAGTTTCTCGGCGAACACGGCCGCGGATATGGGGCTGTGCGGAAGATGGGCGGCTGGGTTGGCGGCCGGTATCTCCCGTCCAGGGCTTTTCCGTAGGTTCCCTAAGCAGGGCACGGAAAGCGTGTGATCCTCAACTCCGGGCATCGGTGAGGTGGCCCGACTGGTGGACGTCCTCGGGGTGGGTGCTTCCGGGTATATTGCCTCCAGTGCGGCAAAGCGCTCTCGTAGAGCCGGGCTGTGGTCTCCTCCTCCGATGAAGGATGCCAATCGTGGTCGTAGTTCGTCTACTTGGCCGTTCGGGTCAAGTCCAAACTCTTTTAGCAGAGCCTGCAGCTCGTCCTTCCGGCGGTAGGCGATCCACCTGACCCCATGTTTGTGGTCGTGGAATCACACCCCGGATGCGGTGAAAAACCTGTCCTCTTCCAGTCCGGCAGCTGCCGGATCTGGCTTTGATTCTGCGTCCTCTGACGTTTTCTTTCCCGAGTCACTGGGCATAGGCGCGGTGGCGCTGCCGATGGCTCTGCTGGGGATCACTCGGTGAGCGCTCCTAGTGGCGTGACTGGGCGCTGGGCGCTGGGCGCTACCAGGGGCTCACGGCAGGTGCTGCTGACGTGCGGCAGTGGCTGACCGATGTGGTTGCGGCTGGCGCTCCCGTTGGCTCTCGGTTAGTGCGGCTGGTGAGCGGCGGCGCTGATCGTTGGGCGCTCCTGGTGGCGCTCGGTGGGCGCTGCTGAGGTTGGCGCTCCTGATGGCGCTCGGTTGACACTGCTGTGGGTGCCGTTGGTACTGTTGATGGCACGGTTTTGCGCTCTGTGGGCGTGGCTGATTGGCGCTCCTGATGGAGCTCCTGATGGCGCTCGGTGAGCGCGGCTGGTGAGCGGCGGCGCTGATCGTTGGGCGCTTCTGATGAACACGTGGGTGCCGCTGGTGGTGCACTGACGCCGCTCGCTGGGCGCTCGTTGGGCGCTGCTGGGCCGCTCTGTGAGTGGGTTGGCGTTGGCGGGCGCAGCGTTACGGGATCCTCTACTCTAACTATTCCTGCGGTCTCCTATCTTTCCCTAAATCTCATCTACTGGACATGGGTCTTTAGGCCATGCGGTTGGTGGTAAAAACCCAACTCTTCTGAAAGATATCTAGTCGTCCTTATTCGTCCCTGTTCGGGCGCCAAACTGTAAGGACCTTTTTCATAGGCTGGGATAAAACTCAGTCCGGCCAGGGTCCTCTACAGTTAAATTTGTAGAAAAATATAGGAACGAAACTGGACGGGGAGTTGCCGCGGGGACTTGCGGGGAAAAGAGGCCAGGGTATCCGCGTTGCACCGAGTAAGCGTCTCTAGCGCAACACGGCACCCGAAAGGTATAGTGGAGGGCGGGGCTGCTCCCGGCGAAAATACTAGCGAAACGAGCAGCGTGGCCGATCCCTGAGAGAATCCCAACAAAACCGAACGGCGGGGCCGATCCCGGTTAAAAAAAATACCAACAAAGCTGAACGGCGTGGCCGTTCCCCCTGGATGTGCGACTCACAAGCTACCTGGGTAGGGGGTAGGGATCCGAGGGTAGGATGGCCGGAGGCGACCCTTCCCTGTGCTCCCTGTGGTCGATCGAGTGGTCGTTTGCACTGAGTAATCGTCTCTGGCGCAACACGATTCCCGACCGACACAGATCACTGCACGTGGCTCGCGACTACCTAAACCGTATTTGGGGCGGGGTTCCCAGGAGAGGGTGGCCAGAGGCGATCCTTTCCTATGCTCCTTGTGGGCGATCGGGTGGTCGTTTGCACCGAGCAAGCTTCTCTAATGCAACACGATTCCCGACCGGCACAAATCACTGCACGTGGGTTCCCGAAAAATGCACAAATTCACGCGGACACATACTTCTTCATTCTCTTTTATCTTTATTATTCGCTAGTTTCACAAGTTATTTTCCTAGTCCCCTACTCGCACTCAGTCTGATCTCTATTGTCTGTGTCCCACTTACTCCTTGGATCCGGCGTGCCGACGCTCGTGCCGCTGTGCCACTCCGGGTTGAAGTCCGCTCCTAGGTCTGGTCGCCTTTTCTGCCATTCGGGAATGAGAGCGAGCTTCCGCCCTTGCGGCCGCATGTGAGCTCGGTTTTCCGGGTTTTTTCGTTTCCCAACACAGTTTCATATCGATCCTCCGCCTATCGCTATCGGCACTATCAGCTGTTGGCCCTCGGTTGACCAACACTGGGTGGTTTTCCAGCCCTGGTGCGCGCGATATTTAAATCTGATAAGCTTAGCTTCTAGTTTGAACTTAAATAAATTGCCTTCGTGGCGTAACGACTTATGGCTAACTTCGGCTTATAACTTATAAATAAATTACCGTCGTGCCGTAACATCCAATTGTATGCCTTCGTGGCGGAAAGAATAAAAGTGGCGATATGTGGAGGGTGTGTTTCACGCATCCTCACACCCCCCCCCCCCCCCCCCCCTTTCTTCAGCGTGATTATGGCGGAGGGAAACGATCACCTCCCGCCCGGCGGTGATGGTGACTCGGAACCGATGACCCTCGATCTGGCGCAGGTAGCGCACCCTCCGTCGATCCTGCTCCTGGATGGATGCGACTAGGGCTGTAGGCAGTAGTCGCTGGTGGGTGTCTACCCTTTAGCCGAATGGGGCGACGATCCACTGGGCCTCCTCCATGACTTGTCCAGCGTCCGGACACTCCCGGAGGGCTTGCAGGACCTTCTCCTCCTCTTCCCCGCTGAGGAATAACTGCAGGTCCGGTTCCTCGCTCGTCCCCCGATGCTCCAGCTGCAAACGCCGCAGGTGGCTCGCCGCTAACTGCGATGCTTGCGGCCGGCGACCACGGCACGGTGGAGATGGAGTCGCCGTTACGAGTTTCGCGTGACTGGAGGCTGAGGATTGGGCTGAAGCTGGGTGGTGTGGGGCTCCTTTCTGACAGGGCCGAGTCCCGGCTGGGGGGTGCGCCGTCGTTGGTATCCATGTCCGAGTCATGGTGGTCGACCGGTTGGTAGACCCCTGCGACGAAGTTTGGGTAGAAGGGCTCCATCCTGTTGCTGTAGTTCCGATCTGTAAATTGCTAGAAAATTAGCCTAGGCCTACGTTCCTTACTTGCCCTGCCTGAGTGCGAGGATCGACTTATCTAGTGGGTACAACTCTCAGCTTAACCTAGTTTTCTACTAAAGTTATTACTGCGATGCTTTGGGTACATTCGTCGACTCCCTTATGTTGGGCACGCGCTCTCTCCGGTGGCTTCTTCCGGGTCCCCTAGTTGGTCACTGCGTTGGTGGTACTCCTTCAGGTCGCCTACTCCTGCTGTTCGCCTCTTCCTGTTTTCCATATGTTGTATCCTGACGATATTCGGGGAGAGGAACTTCAGCACCTTAAATGGCCCCGAGTACTTAGGAGCAAGCTTCGCGTTAAGGCCTTCGCTGGCCTTTGACAGGTGGTGAAGGCGGACCATAACCTGTGATCCGAGCTGGGGTCTCCACTCGTGACGTCGCAAATTGTAGTGGCGGCCTTGTTCCT